AGAAAACTGTACCATGAAGCTTTTTTATTATATGAATCATACAGATGTACTAGTTCAATGTATCACCTCCTGAACAGCAGGAAGTAGCTAACAGACCTCGTTAACTGAGGGGATCACATTGTTGTGTGCAGCTCACACATTCTTATCAAATATGATAATAATTTCAATAGAAGGTGGTTTGGATTCATGCAGCAGGTTTGTTGCATTACTTTTAAGTTTCTAAAGTCTTCCAACTCAAGGTTGAGATCGAAAACAGCTTCAAACTGTGACAAATCTTAAGCGAGACGCTCAGTCGAGCACCAATGACAACACAGCACATTCAGGGTATTTAGATGTCATTACCTGTATGTCTACATTTTAGAAACATTATTACTTATGTCATGAGTCTCCTGTCTGTTCTTATCACATCCCTTCATTCCTATTCCCTGTGAATAGGGTGACACTGGGAGAGTCTTAGCAAAAGGTCATGTCCGCCGTGCCAAAATAAACTTAATTACACAAATAATATGAGAATCCCAAGGCGGTTTGGCCAATCTAAACGTCAATGAGGCAGGAAGATAAGAGGCGGTAAATAAGGCGTAAACGCAGCTTGTAACATTGTCCGCTCACGCCATACGATACTATGCCTCTTCCAGTAATTACCGTTAGCGCTTGCTGCATCTGAAATGTGATCGCTGTCTGTCGATGATAACAGACTGAGCCAGATGGTGTGTGCAGTTGTGACACTTCATCAGGGAGAGGAGAGCAGAGGAGAGCTGGATGAGCCACTGCTAGCTCTTCCTCTCCGCTGCAGAGCTGACTGAAGCCTGGGGGGAAGCGGATGGTCTCCACGTTCTGTTCATGGTCCTCTCTAAGAGCCCTGTGTCGGGGGGGAGAGGGACGAGGTGCAGGGATCTCGGGCACATTCACAGTTTGTTTTGAAAAGCACAAAGAAATACAAAAGCAAAGACAAGAGAATCTACTAAAGTGCAAACAAGTGGAGCAGCCCCCTCTTCCTGTTCCTGTTCCATTGGATAATGTTGTTCTGAAACTCCTGCTGTATGAATGACCCTCTCTGTAACTGTCCTCAGGATGAGTGAGCGCTACACGCAGCCCGGATGTAAAGGAGCTCTACTTGTAATGGTGCTTGTGATCAGCGTCTGGGAGATGACTGAGCCAACAGAAGGAGCATCAGGTGAGCACACCAACACACACCTGCTTCCATCATCATTATACTGTAGGCTTCTTTTCATTGTTCATTCTCTACATTCTCAAATATACCAACTGAGTTTTCTCTGCTCATTCCCCCGACATAACCTTCAAAAACATGAAACCTTTCATCACCTGTTTCTGCCGTTAGCAATGTGTGCCACATCAGAACCTGAATATCTTCATTATAACTAGGGATGTCCCCGATCACCTTTTTTTGCTCCCGATCCGATTCCGATCATTTGATTTTGACAATCTGCCGATACCGATTTTTCCCTATCCGATCTTTATGCAATGCATTAAGAGAAAACAAAGGTAACAGATAACGGCTGGTCATCCAACGCGATGAATTCAGCTATCTTGGCTGTTATTCTTTTTGGCCTTTTCACTGTTCTGGGGCAGTTTCTCTTTCCTTTTAGAAGTCTCTGAAAGTGTTGGTTGTGTCAGTGCCGTTACCCGAGTGGCCGTTGTGTACTCGTCGTGTTGGTGTTGGTGTTGGTTTCTCAGGTGGCGTATTAGATTGGTCGTGTTGAACGTAGCTCTGTTCTTTCCACCACGCGGAACCTCCGTCTTGCAAACATTGCATCTGGCTGTTACACTGCCTTCGCTTTCAATTTTATAATACTTCCAAACTCCTGACATTTTCTCTGTCCCGACTCCCGAGTCACCAGCTGAACGTAGCCTCTCGTTAGCTTTCTGCTACTATTAGACACTGCGCCCACTCTGTTGCCAGGTTTGAGAGAAATAAGCAACCAGGTCTGAAAACAAGCCCAAGAGAAGCAACACATATATGATGTTGTGTCATTTTAAAGCAAAACTAAGGCCTCAGGATGACTTTAAGACGTGAACATGGTCATTTTTGTTTTGTAACATTAAATAAAATAATACAAATATTTTTATAAAAAACGTTTCTTTTTAAAAATTCCAACAAAAAAAAGATTCCCGATCCCCGATTTTTCTCTCCCGATTCCGATCTTTTGAAAATCACGTGATCGGGATCGGGACATCTCTAATTATAACTCCTGTTTGCCTAAAAAAACTAAATGCATATTTTCCCTGTAATCTTTAGTGTTATTTATTCATTTAGATGGTTTGGTGTGAGTTGCCGAGTGTTGGAGATATACACAATCAAAATCAATTCTCTTTGTTTGGATTGGTTTTCACACACGCAATCTACTCGTGTCAGTCGGCCATTTTCAGAAAGAATAACGCGTTTGCCGCCTTTTCACGGCAACTCTTTTGTGCATATGTGGAAGGTGTTTTAAGTCAGTCAACTTTATTGTCAATCTTTCAGTTTGTGTGTACAGACAGAGAGATCGAAATGCCGTTTCCCACAATCCGAATACAAAAATACAAATATATATATAAAAAATATGTATACAAATATGTATATCCTATATACCCATTAAGACATAAATAAAAGCACAACAATCAATATATACAAAATAACATTACATTTAGAGATAACACATTGATGTGTTCACACATCATACATCTCGCGCTCTCCCCAGCATGAGGGTGAGAGATGCACGCTTCTCTCTGCAGTGATACAGCAGGATTTCTGAATTGGCATTTATGTTTTACAAACAAATGAATTGTGTGGTGGCTTTTTCCAACGGCTTGATTAGGTGAAAGCACAACTATTTTTACTATTTAAACATTTGAAAAAGTAATCAATGATTTATTACCACTCACTTTCTCTTGGTATCTCTCCTGATATATATATATGTGAGCATATTTCCCCACACCCCCCTGTCAGTTTCAGAGTTTATTTGAAGGATTTACTATTGTTGTTAACTGTAACAATTGTCCTATAACATTCTCCCATGGATTGACTCCCTCCTACCGATCTCACCCTTTAATTCCCCACACCCCACCGAGGTCACTCAGGTTTATTAGTTTCTGTATTACTTTTAGATGTGGTCCTGGTGTGTGCTCTGTTGACCTGCTGTATTCCTCCTCTGAAAAAAGTCTCACGACAACTTCTGTGGATTATCTGGAGTAACCGGGTCATGATTTCTGGACTGACACATTGATGCTTCAAAAAACCAGGTTCCCATCTAGTTCCATTTTAAGCAAAAAGAGGCAGACAACTCTACGGCAAACATTAACAACACGGAGCAACTCACACAATATAAACTGATGAACAGTATTAGAGGTGAGAGGGAACTGGTCATCTTGATATTGGGTGAACTCTACTTTTAACATCTCACTGAGCTGCTGCAGTTACATGTTTGTTGAGAGGCATTATTGGCAGGTTGTCTTGCAGAATACCTTTATCCTACTGCCATTTCAGTCTACCAGTGACGTGCGGTGAGGTTCATGGCTGGTGAGGCACTGACTCTTTCAGAGTCAGATTTACAAATATTATATTTTGACCTTAATCGAAATGTTCGGTTATTTTCAAAAGCTTTTTTAGTCTGATGTTTCGATTCATTTTAAACAGACTGTTCAACAAAAGGATACCAAACATCTAAATATTGGATTGTTCTTTCTTAGTAAGATCCCATGTTCATTACAATTGTGGTCTTACCTTGACTTGAAGATGAAGTCCATGCTATCCTTCTGGACAACAATCTCTATTACTTTTTTGTAAAAGTCCTCCTTATCTTCCTCTAGTTTCAAAAGTCTAGTTTGTTGTTTGCGTCTATACTGTCTCTGCGTAGAATAACAGTAGCAACAAGGACCTGTGGGCTCATGTGCGCCCCCTTCAGTGCGGCAGAGGTTATGGCTGTCTCCTCTGGTGCTTTTTTCATTGCCGTTGTATGATGAGACCAGCGAGCCTAAATATCATATACGTGAAATAAGTTATTTAGAGACTATGGATGGCGAGGATAAATGTAATTTAGGGATCTACAAACATTACATTGGTGACATACAGTGAGATGGTGCAGGCATGCGCTTAGGGCCCGCTTTCCAGCCAGTTTTCTGTGGGGTGACGCATTCTGAGGTGAGGCAGAGCTCATCTGTGCCTCACCTCACCCCACAGTAACTGGCTTGAGCGCACTCACAAAATAAGTGCCCGCGCTCCAGCCAGTTACTGTGGGTTAACGTGAGGCAGAGCTCGTCCCTGCCTCTCTTCTCATCGCTACCCGTAGTTGTAGCGGAGCTCGGCAAATTTGCTGATTTTGACTATAAAAAGCGATTGGAATCATACATAAATCACACTTACAACACAGATCAGTGGAGACATTTTATTATTATTACTATTTAGTTTTTCTTTAGTTGTTTTTCCGTTACATTGGAGTATGACAGGTGAGGCTCTGCCTCCCCTGCCTCCCCTGACTGCACGTCGCTGCAGTCTACATATATTTGAAATAGTTTATGTGTTATTTTAGTTTTTTTTATCAGATTGATTTTGATAGTGGAAGGATAAAGTGTGTGTGTGAGTGTGTGTGGCCTAGCATTACTATACTTGTGGGGACCTAAATCTGTTTACACAGTCACGTGTGGGGACTCGCCTCCCTTATGGGGACAAAATGGAGGTCCCCATTGTTAGGGATTCATTTTGTCTTACTCCTAGGAGTCTAACCTTTTCTGTGTGTTGACGTTTATGACCAACCCTGAGTCTGTTATCTGTCTTAATGAATGAGAAATCTCAGCTATTGTTGACATTACCAGTTTTATGGCCTGACCTATCGGTCACAGAGGGTTTTAGGACTGTGAGAACGCTGGCTTCTAAGCACCACAGACAAGCGATTCAGTATTTAAAGATGTTGGAGATATCTCCAGTGTTCCTAGGTGTTTACGCACCATCCCCCAATATGTGGATCAACTCTCTGTAAACAGTTAAAAGGTGTATCGAGAGAGAGGCTGGGCAGATTTGACATGGCAACCCACCAGTGCAGTCAGAATCTCTGGCTGTGTGACTTGTGATGTGAATTTCTCCGGCCGATACTTGTAATTAAACACCAGTGTTTGACATCAAAGCTCCAACTCTCCTCGTGTCTCTCTGAGTCCTGACTCTCCATTGCTGCAGAAGTTTCCCTAACACCCATAAGGGGAATCATTAATTTTAGGGTGAAGACTTGGTTAGGTTTAGGGTTAGGGCAAGGGTAAGGGTTAGGGTTAGGCATGTGTTGGTTATGGTTAAGGTCAGGATAAGTCTCCAGGAAATGCATGTAAGTCAATGTAATGTCCCCTGAAGTGATGTATACATGGTATGTGTGTGTGTGTGTGTGTGTGGTGTGTGTGTGTGTGGTGTGTGTGTGTGTGTGTGTGTGTGTGTGTGTGTGTGTGTGTGTGTGTGTGTCAAAATGACATTCCCTATTTAAGTAAATGAAATTAAAGTGAAGAGCTATTCCAGTGATTGATTATTGCACTTCAGCAATGTAGGCAATCCCAACAGACAGACAACACATGATGGTAGAGGATTGATGCAGCAGAGCAGAGGCACTGACTGTTAGTCCCTAAAGTGAGTCAAAGCATAACATTCTGATTGTCCTCAATTGTCATTGAGGGCCACACACAGGAAAACATACAAAGGGCTGGGCCCTCATAGAGGGGAGGTATATGGCCTCATAAGGGAAGTTATAAGTTAGCAAAATCAATCACATGTAGGCAGTGGCGGCCGGCCCATATGGGCGCTAGGGGCGCCGCCCCCCCTCTTCCCATATTAAAAATAAAGAAATATATATTTAAAAAATATAGGTAAATATTATATAATTGGTATCAGTAAAAAATATAATCTACGATAAAATCTCGTTTAAAATTGTGTTACGATGTCTAAAGTTACTGATAAGTCACATGTTTCTTGCCTGGCCTTGCCTGTGTATCATTACCCTCTCTCACAGCGCCCAGACGAGAGTGCAGCAAGTGCAGCAGAAGCCAACTGTTGCTATCTTTAAACTATGCCGCCAACACATAATTTCAGCCAATCAGCATCGTCAAATCTGATGGTCACAGGGCGCCTACGTCAGCGCCCGGTGCAGTCTGTGAGTTGTTTGGACTCGTATCCAAGGAGACAAAACAGGAAGCTGTCATTCA